GTCCCTCCCGCCGCAGCGCCGAGTGGAGAGCCCCAGTGCGCGGGCCGCCTTTGGGCAGGTCCCACCTGCGCGCCGTGGCTGCGCGGGCGGTTTCATTGGTTGGTGTCACTTGACCTGGAAGCGCGCACTCGGGCGGGTTCCCTGGCTACTGTCAAGCCAGTGCCCGGGAAAGGTCTGGGCATGTTCCTTCCTCCCTGGCACGGAGCCTCCGTCCGTTCAATGGCGCGTCCCCCTCTGCACCTCGTTCCAGCTTTCCCAGCGGAGAGAACAAGCGCGAACTCGCTTTTCAAAGATGCTGGCGCTTGTCTCATCAATGTATTTCTCTTTTCTATTTACTTAATTTTTAATTAACCTTTTTTATTGGGAAATGTAACACAATTATATTTTAAAGTGTAAAATAAAGGTAGGTGTAATAATTACTGAGCAGACATGTTATCATTAGAGCAAAAAAAACGTTTCAGGCCCTTCTCAAATGCATTCCTATGCCTCCTTCCTGAGAAACCACGAGCCTGACTGTTATGACATCACTTCTTTGCTTTGCATGTGCCCTGATCAGGAATTGAACTGTGACCTCTTGGTTCTTAGGTTGAGATCAACCATTGAGCCACACTGGCCAGCCATAAGGTCTTTATGGCTGAAGCAAAGTATGCTTTCTTGAGTATGCTTCAGAAAACGTTGAGGAATTTTAAAAAAATAATGTGGTTTGATTAGATATGTGCTTTATAATGATCACTCTAGAGCAGTGTGGAGGATAGAGAGATGAGTCCAGACTAGATGTAGAGAAACCAATTGGAAATCTAAGCTGTTAGGAAGGACTACAGGTCTAATTAAAGTACTGACAGTGGGAATGGAGTAGATAGAGACTTAAATCCTACATACAGTATATAGGACCTGATGGCATTGGGAGAAGTAATGAATGAAAGAAAGAGGAAAAAGTTTAAATGGGAGTATTAAATAGGCGGTGGTACCACTTCCTGGGTTAAGGAATACAGATTTTATTGAAAAAAAATGTGAGGTGGCCGGGATATCCAAGTGAAGATATCCAGTGGGATGCTGAATGTGATGTTCTGGAGCTCAGGGGGTATTTCTAAAACATAGATGTCAGAAGTGTGGGGTGTTCACAAAATCAAAATGTGGACTTGAGAAGAGAGTATGTCTAAGGACACAGCTCTGAGGAAGAATAATCCCATGACCAGTGGAGGGAGACGTTCCTGTGAGATACATAGAATGAATGACAAAGGCAAAGGCACTGATAAAAGGCAAAGGCACGGGTAGGCTCTGAAGTGTAACTTATGAAGACTTCCTGGGCAGCAGATCTGAGTAAACCTTTTAGAAAGGCAGAGAGCAGCTCAGCTACGTTCAGCCATGAATAGTAGGTGTTTAGAAAGCTAGGCTAACAAACTTAGAGGGGAAAAATTTTCAAACTCAGGTTTGACTCAAGTAAAAGGACATGAGTAATTAAAGAAGATTCTCCATTTCTTCATCTATAAAGTGAAGTTTCAATTAGGTGAATTCCTAGCTCCTTTCCAGTTCTAAATTTCTGATCTGGTGAATTGGCATTGAAGAATGGATAAGATTTGGAATTTTATGAATAACTCTTTTCTTTCCTACCCGTCCAGTTCCTCCCTCCCACCACCACACCATCATGGTTCTCATAGAAGCTGAGATTTCAGCCTACAATTGACTGTAGAGGTGGGCACAGACCTAGCTGGGCCAATAAGAAACCTTCCTCAGGATTTTGAGATAGAAATGAGAAAGAGAAGGCAGCTTTATTCTGGGTGATAGAACCTGAATATATGTAAAATCTGGAGTTGCTGGTAACCATGATTTGCAATGAGGTGTTTTTTTGTTTGTTTTTTTAAAAAAAAAAAGCCAGAATGAAGACCCAAGAAGGTGAAAAATGGAGAGAAAACTGCCTGGGTTTTCCAAAGTACTCATCCCAGTCCACTATTAGAATGTATTGCAGCCCCTGGATTACATGAGCTAGTTGCAGGCTGATCCCTGGCCATCCCCTACCCCAGGAGCATGTGGGAGGCAACCAATCAATGCGTCTCTCTCACTGTGATGTTTCTCTCTCTCTCTCTCCCTCTTCCTTCCATTCTCTCCAGAAATCAATGGAAAAAATATGGAAAAATACCCTCTGGTGAGGATTAACAAAACAAAACAAAAAAAAGAATCGTAAGACATATTTCTCTTGGGCTCCAGGTGAAGGGACCCTTGATTCTGGTGAAGGGCATGCTTATTGGTTACAGGCTCAATCCCAGGCCCTGACCGGAGCATGTGGGAGGCAACCAATCAATGCGTCTCTCTCACTGTGATGTTTCTCTCTCTCTCTCTCCCTCTTCCTTCCATTCTCTCCAGAAATCAATGGAAAAAATATCCTTGGGTGAGGATTAACAAAAAATTAAAAATTAAATTTTAATTTAAAATATGGGGGTGGTGACATTTTAAATAGTAGTTCCCATATACTGGTCTGTAAATCACTGAATGCCCATGAATAATAATTTATTAATCCACCATGAAGTCAGAAAAACAATAATGTGTTTAATTTTCCACATTGTTGAATTTAATTGGAAGGACCATCCTTTATTTTTAAGTGCTTTGTATGGAAGTGTAGATAGTAGTTATCAATGTAGTGTTTATTTACACAACAGGCAAAATTAGGAGTTGGCATCATTATATCAATAACTCACATTTCGAGTTCTGAAAATCAAAAGCATAGAATCACTGATTTAAACTTGGCGTTTGTTCTCATGTTGGATAATCTGTTTTATAATCTATTTTTACACGTTATTTCTGAAGGCATTCCTCCTGTGTATCTCATGGTGCCGAGTAAGTGATGAATTATAGCTGAAGGCTTTTCCACATTCATTACATTCATAAGGTTTTTCTCCAGTGTGATGTCTCTGATGTTTCTTAAAGGATGAGTCATGCCTATAGGCTTTTCCACACCGTGTGCATTCATATGCTTTCACTCCTGTATGAACAATTTTATGGTTGCTAAGGTGGATCCTCTGCCTAAAGGCTTTCCCACATTCTTTACATTTGTAGGGTCTCTCCCCAGTATGGATTCTCTGGTGATGTGTTAGATACGCTCGATGACTAAAGGTTTTACAACATGCAGTGCACGCATAGGGCTTTTCCCCAGTATGAATTCTTATATGTTCACTTAAGTGTCTAATTTGTCGAAAGGTTTTCCCACATTCATTGCATGTAAAGGGTTTCTCTCCAGAATGAGTTCTCAAATGTTGGATCAAGCTAATGTTCTGGCTGAAAGCTTTCTGACATTTATCACATACATAAGGTTTCTCTCCAGTGTGAGTTCTGTGATGCTGATTAAGAGAGGAGCGATGTCGGAAGGTTTTGCCACATTCTTCACATTCAAAAGGTTTCTCACCAGTATGGATTCTCTGGTGGGTATTAAGAGACGCGCTTTGACTAAAGGCCCTTCCACATTCCTTACATCTGAAAGGTTTCTCACCAGTATGAATTCTCATGTGTTCAGTAAGATGAATGGTTTGCTTGAAGATTTTTTCACATATATTACATTCATAGGTTTTTGTTCTTATGTAACTTGTTGGATGATTAATCAGATTTAATTTGTATTTGTTCCTCTTTCTAAGTGTGTTATATTTACAGTACCTCTGTTCTATAATAACATTTGAACTCACAATATTTTCCCCAAATTTGTTAGTTTCTTGGCCTCTCTTCTTGTGGAGCAAGATGGCTTGTCTTACATCTCTTCCATTGGTGACCTGATGCCTTTCTAACTCATCATATTTGGAGACTTTTCTCAATGTGGAATCAATTACATCATCCCTCATGAACCTTTCCATTATAATGCCTTGATATAACTGTTCCTTTGCAGTTGACATGCTGGTTTCTGTTTTACTCTTTAAGTCTGAAAGAAATGGAAAAAATACAAATAACTCAAATACTTTATGCTCTGAAAACTCAATTGTTATAGAGATTTAGACAATACATATAAAGTACATGAGATTTTCATTATATTTAAATATGGTTATGTATCCTGGAGAAGTAATGGGAAATTAAATTAAGAAACAGCCCTAACCAGTTTGGCTCAGTGGATAGAGCGTTGGCTTGTGGACTGAAGGGTCCCGGGTTCGATTCCGGTCAAGGGCATGTGCCTTGGTTGCAGGCACATCCCCAGGAGGAGGTGTGCAGGAGGCAGTTGATCGATGTTTCTCTCTCATCGATGTTTCTAACTCTCTATCCCTCTCCCTTCCTCTCTGTAAAAAATCAATAAAATACATTAAAAAAAAAAAAAAAAAAGAAACAGTAAAAGTATGATTTTATAAAAAGAGTAAAATTTGAGCATTTTAGTCCTGCTCTTTCTAATAATACTAAATAATGAAATTTTTGAGCTGTCTTTACAACATGTCTTTTTAATTGACAACTACTTTTAGAAAACCTTCTCAGAAAAATAAAAAAATAAAAACATGTTCCTTCCTCACTCCAGCAGCAACCAGAGACACTAGTTCAAAAAATAATTTTGGTACTAAGAAAATTCACAAGAACACTGAGGTGTCTTTTATTAAAACTTACACGTTGTTCTATTTCCTGTGCTTATTCATTTGTCCCTGGAAGTGTTATTTATGCAAAGAAGACTTGTAAGAAACCCAGACTATATTGCTGCTATTACAATGTTCTATGAAAATACCCTTTATACCCTTTAACCTTTAAAATTTTGACTGGTTTTCTCAGTCCATGGACTGAAGGGTCATGGGTTCGATTCTGGTCAAGGGCACATAACTTGGTTGCAGGCTCGATTCCTGGCCCCAGTCAAGGCCTGCAGGAGACAACCAGTAACCAGTTGATGTGTCTCTCTCACAACAATGTTTCTCTCTCTCTCTCTCTCTCTCTCTCTCTCTCTCTCTCTCTCTTCCTCTCTCTCTCCCCCCCTTCTCCTCCCTTCCACTGTCTCTAAAACTCAATGGAAAATATATCCTCAGGTGAGGATTAACAACAAAAAATAAAGTAAAAATAATAAAATTCTGACTGGTTTTCTTACTTGATAATTTGTTGTATCCATTACTAATATTTCAACTGACAGCTTTGTATTCCTAAAAGGTATAACTTCTTATAAAAATCATTAGTATTTCCAAATTCTAAATGGAGGCAAGAATAGAGTCTACATTCTGTAGGTCCCAGATTCTGGTCTTGCATAGTGGGGGAGGAAGAGAAGACAGGGAAAGACAGAGAAGCCATCTATGTTCCCCTCCCCAATTCAGTATCCAGGACTGAAGCAGCCCAAGCTAGGGGAGAAGAAAAGATTTCACTTTGAATGAAGTTTCACTGAACAAAACATTTTACTAAAATCAGACTGTTGTTATTTTTAAAGGGACTAGACCATTTATGGGATCTCTCTGAGATTTTACGCAGAGGTAGGGAAATGAAA